GGAAAGCCCCCGAAAAAGACAGTCCTCACCCTGTTTATTTCCCCATAGACAGAGAAATGGGGATTTTATTATTGTAGATTTCCACTGTATTTTATGTGGGAACAAACTGATTAGAACCAGAAGATTCTTCGGAAGAACTTCAAAGAAAAATAAATATGACTTCTGTGGTCATTATTAAAAATATTTTTACCAGCCCAGTAATTTTCTTTGAAGATGAATTTTTATAGATTGAACAGCAGCAAGTAATTTACATACTAAGATGGGATTGGCTAGCAATCCCTACTATTCTAGAAGGCTGCCATGTTGGCTGCCATGTTGTTATTTGATTTGGGGATACCAAGAAAGCTACAAACACCATAATGTATCTACTTTGAGGATAAAAAGAAACCACACAGTGTCCTCACACAGGCTGATGGCTACCACCATTATGATTCATCTTTAAAAGTTGCCTATGCTGTCTTTACTCTTTCCTGGCTTTAAAGCTCTGAGTGTGAGTATACTGTTCTGGTTCTAACCAAGAATCTAACCAAACAGAAAGAAATCCAGCCCTCAAAGTCTGCAGTTGCTAATGTGCTGTGACACTCGGGTTTTGGAAGCAGTCACAGCCTCTTCAGTCCACTAGGAACAGGGCCTCGCCCTTGCGGTAAATTGAACAATAAAAGTTTAATGCTTTGGTTATGTGCCAGGGATTAAACTGTGGCAGGAGAATCTGGAAGCTGGTCCTCGCAGGGGAGAACCCCCAAGAGGGTCCTACTGCAGAAGTAAGAGGGACACTGTCAACTCTGCCCATAAGATGGCCATCTTATAAAGTGCCCTCAACTTCATTCCTTTTTCAGGCTGGTACAAGGACAACCTAAGGAGGTGCTTACCTAGAAAGAGGTTGCAGGAGAAGGCAAACTGCATAGAATAACATTTGTACAATGGCCCCTCTTCTCTCCCTGTCCTGGCTGAATACAGACTGTCTTAAGAGGATGAGGTCTAGGGACACGACATCTCATCTTGGGAGGACATTGATGACGACAAGAAAGGGGAAAAAACATGGTTGACCTCAGTGCCCACCATACCTAAAAGAATACTCCTGGGTTCTAGAGCAAGTGTCAAGGTCAAACTGAACACGGAAAGAATGTCATTCATCCTTCTTACCTGTGCAGAGGCTACACCCTGCACCAGTCAGATATGCACCTGCCAAATGGAGACAGAAGCTGGAGGAAGCGCTCCCACCTCTAAACCTGTGCAGGGGTGCTGGGGAACCTCGATTCCTAATATTTGTTCTTATTCAGGAGGTAAAACCTCAGACAAAAGCTAGAGAGGTCAACTGTGGGCCTCTCCCAAGCATTTCCCATGAACTATCCAGCAGGACAAACACAACTGGCTTGATATGTTTCAGTGTTTCAGTTTGTTTTTCAAAATTCTTTAATTTAAAAAATAAAAAACAGCTATCGAAAGCACACTGCTATTTTAACAGGAAAGCAGAAGTGTAGCAGTAAAAGCCAATAGCTTAGGAAGTGCCAGGAGTTTGGACTCTTCCTCCCCTGTCCCCCTTGGTTGTTTCTCTAGGTCTCAGGGCTGGTGCCACCTGCTGCCTGACTTTTTTCTGCAAAACAATTCTCAACCAACATCTGCCGGTATAGTGGAGTGAACACACTAGGGTCGGCGCTGAGGCAGGAATGATTTCCTTAAGCAGTGCACTGAATCACACTGAATTCCCACTTACTAATGATTGGAATTTATGTATACAAGCTTTTCCCAGTTGTATCTTTTTAAAAAATCATGGTAAAATGCAAAATTTACCATTTTAGCTAGCATTTCCCCCCTGCTATATTGTACAGGCAGGCTGCGAGCCTCCAGTTACTCTCTTACTTCAGCCTTCCAAATAGCGAGGGTACAGCGCACGTCACTGTGCCCGACTTGCACGTGTATGTCAAAGTTAATTCATAGTAAAGGGTAAAAGGTTTATCCACTCGCCAAAATCAGCCCTCTTTATTGCTTTTTCCAGATCAGTAAACACTTAAAAGTCAATTCACGTGGACCTAATGCAAGGCTTAGTACATATACAGCCTATGGACCAAATCATGACCCATAAACTAAGTTACGATTAGTTGTGTAAGCTTTTAATTATAAAAATTCAAAAGCACAATATATTGAGACATGTAAAAATGATATAAAGATTCAAATTTCAATGTCCAAAAAGTTTTATTAAAACACAACAATACATTCAGGTGGTACACACCTTTGCTCTCAGCTTTTGGGAGGGAGAGCAGATATTTGTGAGTTCAAGGCCAGCCTGGTAGATAGATAGATAGATAGATAGATAGATAGATAGATGGATGGATGGATGGATGGATGGATGGATGGATGGAGAGAGAGAGAGAGAGAGAGAGAGAGAGAGAGAGAGAGAGAGAGAGACCCTGTCTTGGAAAAAAACAAAAACAAAAAAATAGCAATGCCTGTTCATTTTGTCTTGACTACTTTTGCCTCCAGAGTTGGAGGTAAGTGATTGCAACTGTGGCCATCTATGGCCCACAAAGTCTAAATCATTTACTGTTTTGCCTTGGTCTAGAGCCTCATGAGAGTTCCAGGATCAAAAATTCTAAACTAGGGGCCATCAAGACAGCTCAGGAGGTAAAGGTGTCTGAATCAAGTCTGGAAATATGAATTCAATCTCTGGGACCCACAGAATAGACAAAGAAAATTGGCTCCCAAAAGTGCTCTGACCTCCCTATTCAAGACATTATACCCCCATGTTCATAACCACCAATAAAAAACGCTTTAAAGTTTTTAAATTCTAAACTAAAGATGGTTTACTGCCTACTGCCAAAAAGTCCCAATTTGGATATTATGAAGCTATAAGTTTGTCTTAATCATTTTGCTTTTGGTCCATCTATACTAATCTCTGAGCACATTAATAGCTGTATTGAGCGCACCAACTTGTATTGGTTAGCAGTGAGCCCAAATGCAATACTTTCTTGCTTTAATCCTAGCACTCCGGAGGCAGAGGAGGCAGATCTCAAAGTTTGAGGCCAGCCTGGTCCACAGATAGAGTTCCAGGACAACCAAGGCTACATAGAGAAACTCTGTCTCAAAAACACAAAACAACAAACATAAGATTTATAAAAGGGCTCACTGCTATCTTAAACAACAAATTCCAGACGAGAAGGTAGGGGAGGATGGTGAGAGGCTAGAAAAGACTCTGCCACTAAACCTCCATCTTCCTTCTTATCAGTTGTGAAAGAAGAGAAAGCACGTCAGAAGAAGAATGGAGAGACGGGAGATCATTTGGGGTTGACTACACACTATAATTAGAATAACACAGAAGGGGAATGAGCTAACTGTTTTCATAAAGTCAGCATTCAAAAATGCAAACCACCAGTAATTTAAATATTACAAAGTTGTGCAGAATATAAGTATTGGAATAATTTTTTCCATCCACAAAATTTTAGAGAAAATTATAGTATCACAAAATATGAAATGGTAAGTTTGGCATATTCTCGGTATACAACTTTTTTTTTTTAATTGGAAAGGATTTAACAAACTAGTGGCTAGGCTCTTGACAGTATGTGATGCCGAAAACCATGTGGTGTGTCTCTGAAACTGCTTCTGGAACCAGGGGGGAAATGTCACAAAAGCACTGATGTAGCAGAATGCTAAGAAAGCCCGCTGATGAGAATCTGAAGCACAAACTGTTTCCTAACAGCCACGTATTTGTCCATAGCCAAGACTCCTAAACAAAAGCATCCCAACTTTACCCAAGAGCTGCATCTGACCTAGCATGGCAAAGGTGCCTAGCACATGCCACCTCCCAGCAAGCACTGGCCAATCAGGCTCACATATAGCTTTTCGGAGCTATATTACTGTGCCCTTTCCACAGGGGAAACCAGCTTATTTTTACCCGCACCTCTCTCTCCACAGAGTACACTAAATTCCGAACACATAGATGACAAAGTGGAGCTAAGGGGTTACTAGGTTACAGTTATGTTGACACGTCCTGGCTCTAGGAACGTCCCTCCCTCCTTGCTCACATACTACAAACAGAAGAAGTGGGCAAATTATAGAAATCCCATAGAAGGCACCAATCACCTAGAAACCACTTGTACGGAGCCTCAGTTTTGGAGTGTTGAGAACCCTTCATTCTGCAGTTCCAAAGCCCACCTTTACCTTTTGCCAGGATTCATCATGTAAAAAGCTCAGTATTCCCAGGGTAAACCAGGTGTCTAGTCTTTAGTGAACTGGGAAAGACTATGAAAATATTTTAAGTGTTCACTGACGGCCGTTTGTACATGGTGGTACAGTCTATGCATGTTGCCTACAGTGTATCACCAACACTCGGCACGGGAGTGAGTTATCATCGTCCTCCTTTCTACAGATCTACTAACCGAGGTTCACGGAGCTCAAAGTTTGTCTTTAAATCACACAGAAAATAAGTCTCAGCCTTTTCTCTAATCCAAGCTGGCAAGAAAACAAAGCAAGTCTAGAGTTTTCTTTCATCAGCAAAACCCTGTCTTTGCAACATCCCAATCTGCAACTTAGGGTGGAGACCCCAGCGGCAGGTTCACCAGTATATGCTCAGCACCCAATAACCCGCAAAGAAACTGAACTGGGCCGGACAACATCCTCATGCCTGTTCTTCCACGGGAAGGGAAGGGATTCTGAGGCAAGGAAGGGCGTGGGGAAACTGAGCAGAGCCCCAGCTTCTATCCTGGCTGAGGACACCACTTCGGGCGGACCGCGCGGGGGACTCGGCCTGGGAAGCAGGACGCCGGACACGGCGTAGCCTGCACTGGTACGGGCGACCTTAGCCGTCACGCACCCCTTCCCTCCCGCAAGCAGTGAGCTGAGTCCCGGGAAGTTCGAAGCCGGCGCGCGGAGCAGAGTCCTGGTAACGGGGCAAGCGCATCCACGCCGCGTTCCGGGACAGAAGCTCAGGCATCGCGTTCGCCGGGGTCCACGCGCGAGGGAAGGAGAGCCGGGCGTGGGGAAGGGAGGGCCGGGGTCTCACTCACCGGGGCCGGGGCGGGGGCCGGGCGCGGGCCGGGCCGCCAGAGTGAGCGCAGCGGCGGAGAGC